ACATATAATCAGAGTACTGAGCACATGCTTTATGCTAACCACTGTGTGCTAGGTAGAAAAATTTAAGGCAGAATAAGACAAATGTGGGCCTTGATCCTTTAGTTTATAGTTAAAATATGAGAGAGAAACAATCAACAAGGAAATAAATGAGTGAATGATAAGATACACGTTCTATAAGAATAAAATAGGATCATATAGAATAGTTGGCCAGGAGATCCTAAAATAGTAGGTGAGGGAAGGCCAATCAAGGAGGTAATGATGAGAGGAAGCTAACCATACAGAGATCACAGGAAAAATGGCCCTGCATGATGCAGCTGTTGCTGTGGCTTTGAGGAAGCCATGATGGGGACAAAGAGAAGCTGGTGCATTTGGAGTGGAGGGAGATGGGAAAGGAGTTTTGTGAAGTCACAGAAGGCTTTGTGCTTCACAAATAAGAGCGTGGATTTTTACTGACGTTTAGGCTTCTTTCTGTTTCCATTTTCTGAACTTATGCTTACCAAAAGCTAGGGTGGTGTATTGTGAAAACAGCCATTCGTGTTTCAGAGGCCTGCAGGTGGTCAACTTGGTGCAAGTATCCTTGATCTAGTAGGAAATCAGGCAGTGCTACTATGATCAGTGGCAAGACTAAGTACTGATGACATGATAGGGTGTATGTGAATATACGTGATTGATTGGTTGGTTGGTTGATTTAAAGAGTCACCAAGAAATGTTTTATATGTCACAGGCCACAAACTAGTATGCAATTATTGTATGAGCACATAGTAATTGTTACCTGATGACACTGCCCAATTAATAGATATTTTATAATGACTGTCTCTTTTTACAGTTACAGGACTTTATTTCTGAAAAAGTGTCATCAGGGATAGCTTAATCTTGAGAGACAATATAAGATTCCCAGCATACAATGTTGTGCACTTAATGTTGACAAGCTGTATGTTTAATCATCTTTCATTAGACTGAACTTCTGTGAAAATGAATCAGTAATGTAGAAATCACAGGTTGTTGGGAGGCTCAGACAAGACAATGCATGTGAAAGCACTTGAAATTATAAATGTTCTTACATGGCATAAGATATTGTTGCTGGGTTTTTTTATACCAACCAAATATGGTAATGGTATAAGATTTGAGACTGTGAAGAAAGGATATCTTGACCCACATAAGAAACTGATTGATGTTCAATCCCCAGTACCAAAAAAAAAAAAGAAACTGTTGCCAAAGCACATCTTTTCTAACCAACATGTATTAATTTTATTTAGCAGCTTACTCGTGCATGGTAATTTATCTCCTTGGCAAACACACTGACGTGTCCTCAGTGGCTCTGGGGATAAGACAGTGTCCTTGCCTTTGCGGACCTTAGGATGCAGAGGATGATGAACATTACATGCATAACTGAATATATCAAAAGAATGATCACTTTTGGTTTTGTTAAAATTTAGATTGTTTATGTAATATAAAAAGTTGATTAATAAGCATCCTTACCAATACCTGTCTTTTTTTGGGGGGGGGATTGTTTTGTCTTTTGGAGACAGGGTCTCCTATGTAGTTCAGGCTGGCCTTGAACTCACAGTAATCCTCCTGCCTCAGCCTCCAGAGTGCTGAAATGACAGGCATGCGCCACCATGTTTGGCTAGTCCCTATCTTTTGAACCTGTAAAAAGACATCCTAATGGATGTGAGGTGATATCTTATTGTGAGTTTCATTCTTCTTTCCCTAATTATTGATATTTAATATTGTTTCACATACCACTTGGTCAATTTGTATGTCGTCTTTAGAAAATGTCTATTCAAGTCTTTTGATCATGTTTAAGTCAGGTTATTTGTGTGGGGTTTTTTCTATTAAATTGTACGAGTTCCTATGTTAGGGTTTTAACCCCTTATCAGATACATGGTTTACACATATTTTCTCCCATTCCATGTATTTTCATGTTTTGATTCTTTTCTTTACTGTGCAGAAACTTTTTAGTTTGACATGGAGTTTTTCATTTTGCTTTTGTTCCCTGTGTTTTAGTGTCACATCCCAAAAATCATTGCTAAGGTCAGTCTTAAGCAGTTTTTCCCATGTTTCCTTCTAAGGGTTTTACAGTTTTTGATTTTATTTGTAAATTTTTTATCTAACTTGTGTTGATTTTTATATATGGCATGAAGGGCCAGTGTAGTCTTTTTGCATATGGATGTCTATTTTTCTCTGCACCACTTATTGAAGAGACTATCCTTTCCCAATTTTCTGTGCCTGAGTTGAAAATTAGTTGAAAAACTGATTTCTTGGCTCTTTATTCTCTTCCGCTGGCCTATTTATCTGGTTTTATGCCCATCCCATAGTGTTTTGATTACTGTTGCTTGTAATGTAATTTGAAATCAGATATTGTAATGTCTCTAGCTTTGTTTGCTTAAGCTTGCTTTAGCTATTGGAAGCCTTTTGTGATCCCGTACAAATCTTAAGATTGCATTTTCTTTGTCTGTGAAAAATGCCATGTGAATTTTGTTATAAGTTGTGCTGAACCTATAGATCACTTTGGGTAGTTTACACTAAAAATTCTTCCAATCCATTGACATGGGATATCTTTCCATTCATTTGTTTTTTTCAGTTTCTTTCATCAACATTTTAAAGTTTTCAATGTATAGATCCTTCACTTGTTTGGGAATGTGTAAATTATTGTATGACCATATAGTAATTGTTACCTGCTGCCACTGCCCAAATAACAGATACTTTATAAGTACTGTCTGTTTTTACATTTACAGGACTTTCTTTCTGAAAAATTGTCATCAGGGACATCTTAATCTTGAGAGACAATGTAAAATTCCCAACACATGATGTCGTGCACATAATGCTGACAAGCTATATTTTTAATCATCTTTCGTTTGACTGAACTTCTGTGAAAATGAATCAATAATGTAGAAATCAGAGGTTATTGGGAAGCTCAGACAAGACAATGTATGTGAAAGCACACACATACACTGGCAATAGTAATTCAGACTTGATGAAGAAATAAATCCCCATCATTTGGAACAACGTGGACAAAACTGAAGGATATTATGCTCAGTAAAGTCAGGCAGACACATAAAAATACTGTTTAATCTCACTTGTATGCGGAATCTTAAAATGTCAAATGTATGAGCAGAATAGAATGAAGACAGGAAATACAGGAAAAGGGGAGATATTGGTCCGAGGGTACAAACTTTGAGTTATAAAATTAATACATTCTGAGGACATGAACAGCTGTAGTTAAAAATAATGTAAGTATTATATATTTAGAATTTGCTAAGAGAGAAGAACTCAAGTATTTTTACTAAATCAAAAAAAAGTAGCTGTGAGGTTATGGATATGTCAGTTAGCTTAATTGTGCAATCATTTCACAATGTACATATATCAAAATAAAATGTACATCTTAAACATGCAAATTTTTATTGTCAGTTATACGTCAGTAAAGCTAGAGAAGAATAGACTAAATGCTTATAAAGGTGTTGTATATTCTGATGTCTAAAATACATACTTTGAAATTTTTTATTTTGGGCCAAACTTGGGCAAGCTTTCCTTTGTGTTTGATTTTAAGTCTCTCTGGAATGCTTCCTGCACAACCACAGTTCCTTATATTTGAAGGAGATGGTGAAGGCTGAGACAGGAAGTCTCAGATGCAACTGATAAGACTCAGGCTCTGAAGTCAGACTGTCAGGGTTTGAATCCACCCATCCCTGGACTGACAATGTGGTTAATGTACCTGTGAGTCAATTTCCTCATCTGTAAGTTTAGGATGCTAGTACATTTTGTCAGATGATATAGGCAATATGCTGAGTGCCTAAAAAACTGCATTCTCAATTCATGTAAATCATGCATGTTATGAATGTCATCCTCCTGCCTCTTCCCTCCCTTCTTACTATAATTTTGTGATTTTTTTCCTCCGGAGTCCAGCTGTGCAACAATCTCCAGGAATTCTGCATGACTTAGCATTTTCTGGGACTTGTTACTAGTATAGTAGGAAACTTGTTTTTGTCAGTAGGCTGTGCCGTTCTGAAAGCTTCCGGTGATCTGCTATGTTCACTTACTCCCATCTCACTCAGATGATAACAGTTTTGTAATTGACTGTTCTTTGCAGAGCTAAAGAGGAAAGGGAATAGTTGTATATCACAGTAGGGCACCTAGAATAAACCAAGGGATTTAGAAGTTTTTCTTGTATTTTTTTCCTTGCAAATAAGCCTTAAGTAAGGTAGAGATGTTTTGTGTAAATAACCATGCTAACAAAACAACCACCTAAGAGAGTATATTTCAGACATCTCTGACAGTAATTTACCATAAGAAATATTTTTATCAAATCAAGTTCACATATGTATGTACACGCTCAAAACAAATAGTTTCACAAAAGAATACATACTCTTATAATCTGTAATTGAATATTTTCTCTTCAAGGAATTGTCATCCATGTAATTCCATTTCTTTCCTTTTCATTCTATAAGAAAAGACCAGCAATTTGTAAAATATTTATCTAAGAGATCAGTAGCCCTAAATAAGAATAGGAATATGAATAAAAAAATGAAATGAGGCAATGTAATATTTTCTCTATAATCATTATCTTGTATTTTTAAAAATACAAAACAAACACTGTTTAGATGGATCTTTGTAAAGAAGGAAACAAATTATTCTTTAGCTCTAACTATACCTTTTTTAAAGTTAGTCTAATTTACCTTTTAAGGTGTGTAGTTATTCCTGTTCCTAGTGATAACTGGATCCTCATTAGGGAGGAGAGTCTACTCAGTGAAGCCAGGAAACCCTGCTTCTGTCCTGGCTTTGTCATTACTCACTGGTTTTCTATCTTCTCTGTCTCAGTTCCTTCCTCTGCATGAGAGGAGAATAATATTTGTTTCTCCCCAGGGTTCTTTGAAGACCAGCTGGGATAACAAATTTGAAATTGTTTTGTAAACTAAACCACTCTTCACAAATATGAAGGCTATTCAGATGTTAGTTCCTGTGTTTGTAATTCTTCCCTCCTTTTTAAACCTTCCTCCTAGATTTCTCAGCTGAATACACTGATTACACTTTTGCTGGGAGAACTTCCACTTGGTGACAGGCAGAAGATCATGACAATTTGTACCATAGATGTTCATGCAAGAGATGTGGTGGCAAAACTTATTTCTCAGAAGGCAAGTTGTTCAAAGAAATTTTTTTATTGCTGTTTCCTGAAAGTGTTATTTATTGTCAGAATAGTTCCCAAAAGTCATTATTTTTTTAGGTCTGTATAGTTTAATTAGTCCCAAGAAGTTGTAGTTATTTGAGGTGCACTGGATGTGGATTAGCTAATCCTGTATATTGTTTCAATCAGTGGGAGTTACTCCAAGTGACATCCCAAAGGGTTTTGCCACATTGAGAGTCTCAGATCACCTAAAAACTAATCCAAGAGGTAGGACCATGAGGGCTTATCTGGTTCAACTCTCCAGCTTCTGGCTTTTCTGTGCATAGTCATTTTAGACCATTTGTCTGTGAGTTTCAGCTGCATGACTGAAACAGCCAATCGCAATATCAGATACAGTGTCATCTAAACCATCTCTGTGTAGCTTTGATGGATTTCCCCTTGAGAAATCAATATTGATCATAAATTTAGGTTGTTTGGGTCATCCCCTGTCTTTTTATGGCTAAATCATTCACTTTCCTGTAAGAAGTCATTTTCCTAATCTTTTCAAGTTATTAATAACTTTTTTCCCCTGTCTCTAAAAAGTATGTGTGTGTCTCACATGCTGGCACTGTTTAATGTGATAGAAAATCTTCTCACCCTTTTTCCCTCCTCAAGATATATTTCTACTTGCAAATGTCAGAAGAATGCTTATCTATTGGACAGCTCTGATATATAATGCCCACTACCCACTTCCTCCTAATCCCTTTTCTGGGGACATAGTTCTAAAGCAAAAAAAATACCTTTCCCAATTTGAATGCATTTATGTATGGTGAAACACTTTGTTTTTTTCTACTCATTTCTCCATTTATTAAAATCAAAATGAGTTATAATTCTCTCTGTAAAGCACAAGAAAATGGTTCTTCATGTAAGCCATAAATATAAATTAACATTCCTTGAGCCAGGTTCCGGATCCAGTGGTGAACAATGTTTTTAAGTTTAATCCAAGACTGATCCTTAAAAAAAACACCATTTACCATGTGTTCTTATTTTGATAATGAACTGTGATAACTACACCTTGAATATGACCTTGTGCCTTCTTATCTATTTATACTGTTTTATCAGTTTTGTGGTTTGTTTGCAGCAGAATAAATTGTGATTTAAAATATACCCTTTATTTTTGTACTAAAGAGATTTTTTTGTCTCCTTGACCATCTCAAAGAAAATTCAGTCCTAAATCTTACGTAGTCATCAAACAATAAATAGTGATTTTACTAATTTGAAGTGATTTCCAAGAAAACTAAGAGTTCCTGTGTATACCTTGAAAGAGACAGGGCTTTAAAGAAAAACTTGAAAAGAAATAGGGTTGAAAAATGGGAAAGAATGACAATGAAAAGGTATTTGATGTAATGAAAACTCAGTAAAGAATGTCTATACTTAAAGCAGACCAGACTTAGTATGAATGTGGTTGAAAGTGTAGTTTATTTATACCGCTAACATGCAGAAATTATGGATTGTGTGTCATTTTAACACAAAAGCTTGTTATACATCAGATTTCAATGATATGAATATAAAGTTACAAAAATTTTCTTACCCCTGTGGTGATAAATGAAATGTGGGAAAGCATTACGTGAACAAATTGATATTGTTTTAAATAAAGCCAGTTTAAAATGAAGACTTATTACACAATATATTTCTGATTAATCAACCATCTGTACGAAATTACAATTTGTAATAGCATGAAAGATTTTTTATTTGTGAGACTTTAAAAGTAAAATGTGAGCTATACACATTATTAGATTAATGAATTAAAAATTTTTCTCATAACTATCAGTGTCCTATGTGTAATGATTTTGCAATGATTTTAGGTTGTCAGTCCCCAAGCTTTCACTTGGCTGTCTCAACTTCGTCACCAGTGGGAGGACACCCAGAAACACTGCTTTGTTAACATTTGTGACGCTCAGTTCCAGTACTTCTATGAATACTTAGGAAATAGTCCTCGACTAGTGATCACTCCTCTCACTGACAGGTAACAATTATAAGTTTGAGTCAGATGAGGAAAATCAAGTCCCCTAGCATAGGCAGAGATATGTGAGAATAAAAAGAAAGAATGAAAGAAAATGATGAACAAATGAGAAAAGTGTATGAAAGCAGTCTGTATATTAACTAATTATCTAAGAAAGTGAGCATTTATTTAGAGATAACTTAAAACTGAGTTAGAGAAACAAAATTACAGAAGCTCCCATATACACATGGTGAAATCACGAGAGATGAATATGGCTCGAGGTAACCTGTTTGAACGCCAACCTATCTAATATCTGTGGTAACGTCCCTGTTACCAGACTCTGTCACCATCCTCCTTCCCCCATTTTCTTATTGGAAGACAAAAGTCACTAGGAATTGCATGTTCAAATTTATTTTTTAAGGATTGCCTACACTGAAAAGAGAAGAGGGAGAACCTAATATTCATGAAATGATGCAACACTTATGAAGTACTGTGCTAAAAACTGTTCTGATATTAAGCAGACAGGTCTGTTTGCTACCAATGAGATTACTTTCTACTTGAATTAAGTATGCGAGTGGGTGGGAATTAAAAGGAACAATACTCAGAGTAAAATATTTTGGGTGATAACATATGATATGGGAAAAAGAAAACAGGGTGGTGTCTTAAAAGTACATTGAAGGAAGGAGAATCTACTTTAGTTTGAGTATGCTTTCTCTGAAATGGCTTGGAACCAGAGTAGACTTTTGAGAGGTAGAGGGTAGGGAGAGATATTTATAGACTTCACTGGTTGAGCATCCCTAATCTGAAAACTCAAAATCCAAAATGCTTCAAAATCTGAAACTGCTTGAGCATTATGTTAGCACTCAAAAAAGATTCAAATTTTGGAGTAGTTTGGATTTGGGATATACAACCTGTATAAATTAGATGAGAAAACCTTTGAGCTAGAAGATAAATGATAATGTAGGATCAGCTATTCACAGGTCTTGAGGCAGAAAGGTAGAAGCAAAAGCAAGCACCAAAGCTTTGAAAGTGAGGAGAAGCTTGATTCCTCAAGGAGTAGAAAGAAAACCCTTGGGGCCCAGGTATAATAAGGGAGCAAGTGGGTGCTATTAAAAGTTCATTGCCAGGCCAGAGATGTAGCTCAGCGGTGCCATGCCTGCCTGGCAAGCACAAGGCCCTGAGTTTGATCCCCGGGGCCAAGAAAAAAAGGTCATTGCCACTTGACTCCAAGTAAATATGTACATTGTCAGAATATTGGAGAGGTCAGGATACAGTCTCATGGAGGTGAATTTCTTTATTAGTATTCTAGTCTCTGCTGACTTATTTGGTGACAGGAAGCACATTGACTCTTCAGTATTTATGAGACAGAACTCATACCTTAAGCTCACAGCAATACCCTCAGTCTTCTTTTTTTTTTTGGTACTGGGGATCGAACTCCGGACCTTGAGCTTGCTTGCTTGCAAGGCAGGCAGCGGCACCACTGAGCTAAATCCCCAGCCCACCCTCAGTCTTCTTATCATCAAAGTGCAGCTGGTGGTTGAGGTAGTCTGGAGAGATTGGTAGAATTCTCGCACAAGCTTTGTCATTGTTCATACACATATTAATCTGCTCATGATTTCATCATTTCTGTACTGTACGTACAGCTTTTGTAATTGTCTGATTTGTTCTCTTTAATGTGTCTCAAAATGTTCATTGTCTTCATTAATTTATGTAGTTCTTTCAGTGTGAAGGACTGATATATGTAGCTTGACATAATCACCTGAGACCAGTCAAGACTTGCAAATGTTAGGAGTCTACTACATGCATGCCATTGGGAATTGAAAAGAGAGTTAAGTGAAGCTTGGAATATAAGAGAGAAAAGGAAATATGTTTTAAAGTTTATCAGTATGTGAAGATTGATTGCTTGTTAAAATTTTAATTTAAAAAATCATTGTGTGCTTTATTTGAAAGTTGAAAGGAAGGTGAGTATTCATTCTGATAGTGTGGATAGTTTTGGATAAGATGTTTATGTTATGTGCATTTCCTTTCCATTTCATCCTTTGGATTATTTATGAGTTGTTTACATTAACATAATACTTTAAAATACATTCATTATGTCTCATTTGATGCTGACCATTCTTCTGTGAGCTAGGCAGAGTAGATAGTGTCTCATTTCATACTCAGAGCCTTAGGTCTGCCAGCTTGTACCTGATAGATTTGTGCTGGACACAGGCATGCAGGTTAAAAGAATGGAGGCTCAGCTATTAGGGAGAGACCTCAAGATACAGTGGCTTAAATAACACAGAAGCTGATGTCTCACTTTTGTAACCATCCACAGGAGAGGGAGCCAGCAGAATAGAATGATAGGGAGCTGACATGCTGAACACGCCTTTGATATTTGTTTTGGCCAGTGGAAAAAGGGCAAGGCAAGGCCTGGGTGAAATGTCCTGAAGTGGGTATCCTAGGAGTGCCATTTCTACACATTCAGGACTGGTTGGAGTTTGGTCACTTTGCCAATCCCTGTTAGAATGCAGGTGGGAAATGCAGATGTATATGGCCATAGGTCTGGCCCAAACTTGGAACCACAAGGGTAAAGATAACTTATGTACAAAAAGTACTCTGATTTCTAATCTAGGAATCTTTCTATTCAGTCTCATTATAAAATGCACTTAAATGCACATAACTTTGAAATTATGAATGTTTTATGCATAGGTGAATTTTTAGAGAGATTACCTTCAGTTTCCTTCATATATTCTTACAGTAAACCTCATTTTAAGGAGGAGAAAACTGAGGCATGTTGATGTCAAAAGGTGTAAGATTAATATCTGAAGATCTGCAAAGTAGACTTAGTCTCTGGTGCCCTGACCTCTTTGCATATGTCTTTCCAGTTCATCCACTCTCTGTACTAAGACAAAACTAATGTACAAACCTGAAGAAACCCCAAATAAAGAAATTGTGGATACCAGATACTTGATACTTGCAGGGCCTTGCCATTTGTTAGTTTTTCTTCCTTTTACATATTCTGTCTTTGCATGGTTATTTTTGGTCCTAGATCCTTTGAATCTTCCTGTAAAAATAAGTATTATGATAATCTATATGCATGAGAGAAACACATTCAAAATGAATTCCTAAAATGGTTAGACATAATAAATTATGTCATTGCATATTGGCCTTATACATCAAAGTAGTTATATATTATTAGCATACTATGTATTTATGTTTACCTACTCATCTCTTAATGTATTTCTTATGTAGCAATTTAATGCAGTCTATGTTTAATTCATTCACTATCCACGATTTCTATTTTTCTTTTATAAATAGTAGCTTGAGATGTCACCTACCATATTAATAGTATCTTTCCCTAGAAATATTAGAAATTGAATTGCATTACAAATTAAGTGTATTTGTATTCAAATGCACAGCTCTTAGGAAATGAGAACAATAGCATATAAAGCAATGCATTCTTCTCCAGTAGTTTTAAATAGACAACCTAAAATTAAAATTAATATAAAATAATCTGACTTGTTGCTATGAACACATCAGAAGTACATCAATTTTTTGTTCTGACTCCACTCTAGACTTTGGCTTCTTAAGCTTTGACTTTATAAAATCATTTGCCTCTAATATTTCATAGAAATTTCATATTAGACTGTAATATTTGTCTCTTCTGTTGTACAAAGGTGTTATATTACTTTAACTCAGTCACTGCATCTAACCATGAGCGGGGCTCCTGCTGGCCCGGCTGGTACAGGGAAGACGGAAACTACCAAAGATCTTGGACGTGCGCTTGGCATGATGGTTTATGTATTCAACTGTTCAGAGCAAATGGACTACAAAGTAAGTTACTAAATAATGTAAAATGATGTGCGTTAACATTGCTCCTATTTGGGATGAGGCTGAGTACCCCTTATCTGAAATACTTGGACCAAAAGTGTTATTCAGATTTTTTATTTTGAAATATTTGCATATATTTAATGATATTTTGGGAAAGGCACCCAATTCTAAAAACAAAATTTGTTTATTCTCATAGCCTAAGCTTAATTTTACATAATAGTTTTAATAATTTAACAAAGTTTCGTAGTATGGAATTTTCCACTTCTAGCATCAAAGTTTTAGATTTTGGAGCATTTTGGATTTTCAGGTGAGGGGCACTCTACCTGTAAATACTTAAGACCTCCTTCTCGAAACTTTGAATGCCTCCCTCATTTAGTCCATAGGAAATATCTATAAAGGCCTGGTGCAGACAGGAGCATGGGGCTGCTTTGATGAGTTCAACCGCATTGCTGTGGAGGTTCTGTCCGTGGTGGCCGTGCAAGTAAAAACGATTCATGATGCCATCAGAAATGGGAGAAAAAAGTGAGTGCCACGTGGCTCTTTTGTTACAATTAGGATAATGGAATAATGCACATAACTCACTTTCACAGTCTACTGCTGTCTCTTTCTTGATATGGATAAAATAAAAGAATAGTTAATTTTGAAAATTTCTTTTGGACATCTTCATTTTTTGTCAGTGGCTTTTAATGTTAAATACAACAAAGGTATATCACATTACTTAAAGGATAGACTACTTCTGTGATGCTAAATCCAGGGATCAAGTCTCAGTCCTTGTCTTTGTGACCTTCTGGCAGCATCTGACCCAATGGCCATTCTTTACTATGACATACTTCCTTCACGTGGGTCACAGGACATCACCCGCCCTGCTCCTTTGCTACTTTTTTCTCATATAAAATGGGGAAAAGAACTTATAGATGGTGGTGGTGATTAATGGAAAGCATCTGGACCAGTACCTGATATACAATAGGCACCATATTAGTGTTAGCTATTCTTTTTTTTTTTTTTAATCTTCTGGGTTACTAATACTCAATGTCATGGGCCTTGGTCTCGGGACTTCTTTTCTCTATCTGTATTTTCTCCCTTGCTGACTGCCACAGCTTTCAGAGCCCACCTCCATGCTGAGGACTCCCAGAAGCCCAGGCATCCTGTCCCCTGGTCTCTCAGCTTACAGGAAAAGACTGTTGTGCTCCTCAAGACTCCATGTGATGTCTCATAATCCTCTTCTGTTAATGGCAATCCCAGTCTTTTCACTAGTACCTATCTTATTAGTTGTCCCTTCTCAGCAGGTGATGCCTTCGTGTTCTTCTAGTAACTTGTGGTAAAAACTCCAAGTACATCAGAAATCTCATCAGTCTCATCATGATGTCAGAAGGCAAAACAGAACCAGCACTTAGGACTTGACGGCTTAATTTAAGAAATACTTACTACAGTACAGAGAACAATTTTGGTTCTCCTTGTAACATTTTTATTTAATACAAATGCCACCTCATTTATCTAGCCTATCTGTTCCTCTCAACTTTTTATAGTATTATGCTCAGCTAGCCATCTTGTGTGTTGGAATATTTTGTCTCCCATTTGGTGAAGAATTATCTAGCCTGTTGGAACTGTGAGCATGTTCTAGAAGCTTCCATTTTATCAGTGGGTACATATCTTATCATCACATGGGCCTGAGGCACCACTTTCTTATATCCAGCTGTCTTAACGCATCCCTACTCTAGTGACACATTAGAGAAATTCAGTTCTTTGCTCTTTGATCTCAAGCCATATTTTACTTAACTGTTAGCCAAAATCTTACTACTTGATGCAACCCAGATGTCATTTAAATCTTCCTTTGTTACAGAGATTTATGTAACTGATCCATGCAGTACATTTAGGAAATTCAAGCAATACTTCTTTTTTTTTTTTTTTTTGGTAAAGGGGATCAAACTCAGGACCTTGCACTTGTGAGACAGGTGTGGCATTACTGAGCTAAATCCCTGGCCCAGCCATACTTCTTGATAGTCTCTCCAATCTGGATGTCTCCATTATGTCTCTTCATCCTTAGGCTGGCTGCATGCAGGTGGCTAGGCTCCATCAGGATTCCATAACTTAAATTCCCTTTGAGCTAGAGATGCCTTGACCCTGCAGCCTTTCAGCGCTTTCTGACTGCACCATTTGGAGGTCCACCTTTTGACTAGTGGCTCTTCCTGCTGTATATGATGGGAGAATGGTCCATTATCCTGTGGCACCCACTCTCTGAGTAGCCTTTGAAATCTGGGAAATGAAGATTTCTCTATTTTCACCTTGAATATACAAAATCTACCAACTCTTAGTGAGTATCTAAGACACTGAGTCCTAAACATCCTGGATTTTTTTCTCCATATCTTTCCCTCTCTATCCTGTGATACAGGTTCAGCTCCCTAACTATGTCAGCCTGTCTTCTGTTGACCAGAGATCTCATTTACCCCATCTAAAAGCTTCCTTGTACTTGTCTCTCAATTTGGCTCCTGCAGTCTCTCACCATTCCATCACCCTGGCCATCAGTAATCTTGTTAGGCCCTTGCAAAGTTTTGTGCAAATTGTTGCTTCTCCCATACTCCAAAGTGATCATGATAGCAGTAGACATCACTAATATCTGTTGAGTACCATATTATAGTCTTTGTTTCCTTAGCCTTTTATGTTTATAATCTCTTTGAAATCCTCACACAATCTAATAAGGTGAGTAATATCCTTTTTTATTAGATGAGGGAATTAGAACATAGGGTAGTTAACATACCTAAAATGGTATAGCTGGACTCTGAACACTCACTCAGTCTGGCTCTAGAGGTAGCTGTCCTAACCATCATGCTGTTCTACCTCTAAGCAGTACTCAATAGATATTTATATAGAATATATAAAGGAATATATAAAAGGAAAGGAGAACAAGTGAGCAAATAGGCAAAGACTGAAGAGGGTGTGCCCTTCTCCTTGTAGCATGAACATCCTCACCTGAATGGTGTCCCATTCAAGGAGGTTTTTGGCCACATTGAAGGCAAAACGCCCTCCTATTTCATTAAATGTTAAAGTAGCCAGATCCTCATTTGTGTATTTTAAGACACCATGGCTCTGCAGAAATACTTCTTGTACTTAAAATTCCTCTGGGGAGATGGAGGATATTTTTAATAAACCTGCTTTAAAATATATTCAAATATATATGCTTATGAATTTTAAAGAAAATGACACAGAATAAACAGCTTCCTAATAATAATTTGCATTTTGCAGTGGTTTGCATTTGTCAATGTGCATTCATATTCAATGAACACATTTAATTCCATCAACATTCTTTCTATGGTAGATTTGTATTTCTTGGAGAAGCTGTCACACTGAAGCCATCAGTTGGAATATTTATCACTATGAACCCAGGATATGCTGGTCGAACAGAATTACCAGAAAACCTGAAAGCACTTTTCAGGCAAGTGTTTTGCTTTGCAGCTTAGCATCTGGTGCGCTTATGCCACCTAACGTTGTTGGTTTGCATTGTTAACTGATTGATTTCACTTGAGAATTCCTAGGGAAAACTCAATATTTCTTCGGATCCCTTCATAAAAGAGCATTTTCCCCATGATAAATTAACCCTTGTGAATTATGAAACCAGGACTCAAAATCAGTATTTAAAAGTTATATTATAAATCCAAATGTTACACATTAGCTATTGTGTTACAATATTTTATTATAAGCATATTTTTAAAAATTATGAAATATTTGGGGAAAATAAAAAATTTTTTAAAAGCATCACCATCCAGAAATTATTATATTTTTCTAGTCTGTTATAATTTAGATTTTATGATATTAGATATTTTAAAAGTCAAACTATTACTTAGTTGTCTTTTTAATATTTTGACATACGTATTTTATTGCCAGAAATTCTTTGGAAATTTTATTTTATGTAGCTCCAGAATAGTCCTTCTTGTTGCTCATCAGTATTTTCTTGACTACTCTTTATTGTCAGGTAGAGCCTGTTTCCTTCCTTTTAGTTTTTTATGACTGTAAAGTAGCAGGCTCTAAACATCTATCCACATGAAAAATTATTCTTGTTTCTGATTATTACTCCAAAATCAATTCCTAAATGTAGAATTCCTAGGTGATGATTATAATACCTGTTGATGACCTGCTTTCCAAAAATGCCTTGTGAGTGTATAACCCTCGCTGCAGTCTGTAAGAGAATCTGGACAGCTGTATGTGGCACGCTTATAATTAACTGGTCTTTCACATCACTCTGCTCAGATGTAGTTTAATGCAATGACGCACTGCCCTGTAAGTGTATAGTTGGTGAGAGGCGATGGATCACAATACAGAAGATATTTCCAATACCCCTCACAGTTCTCTTGTGCCTCTCTGAGGTTGATCCCCTTACTCCAGATTTACTCTCCATGATTGTAGATTAAATTTCCTTTTTTAGAGTTCATGTAAATGAACCCAGATAGTTATGTACTCACTTGTATCTGGCATCTTTTTTTAAAACATTATGGGTTTGAGATTCATCCACGTTGTTGAGCTTATCAGTAGTCTGTCACTTTTTATTGCTGATTTGTATTATGTTGTATATGCATTTTGCTCTTTGTTTATCCGTTTATCAGTTGATGGACATTTGTATCATTTCCAGTTTGGGTCTACTATGAATAAAGCAGTTATGAATATTCATGTAAATCTTTGTATGAACACATGTTTTTATTTCCTTTTGGTAAATATCTAAGAATGGAATTGCTGGCTCATATGGCAAACGTATGAGTATGTTTTACTTACGAGATTCTACAATCTCGTTGCCAAAGTGTACCATCTTACAGTCTCACTGTTAATGTAGGAGAATTGTAGTTGCTTTATATTCTTATCAAAACCTGGTATTGGCTTTTTCACTTTAGCCAACCTAATAGATATGTTGTGATGTATCATTTTAAGTTTAGTTTGCATTTTCATGAATGCTGATGATGTTGAGCATTTTTTTTCATATACTTACTGGCGATTTGTACACTATCTTTTGTGAAGTGCTGTATTCTATATATAACCTCTTTATTAAATACACACTCTGGAGGGTTTTTCTTATTTTTGTGGCTTTCCTTTTTATTGTTTTAAAGGTATCCATAAAAGACAGAAGTTTTAAACTTGATGAAATAGTTTTTTCCAGTGCTGGAGATTGAATCCACAGCCTATTGAATGCTAGGCAAGTGCTCTTCTACTGCACTACACCGTTGGCTCTTGTTTTGTTTTTTATATTCTACCCCAAAAAATTTTGTCTAGCCCAAACTTGGAAAAATTTTCAACTACGTTTTCTTATCCATTGTTGTTTTATAGTTTGCATATTTTTTCCTTTATTCTGTTAATGTGCTGAACTATATTGATTGATTTTTTTTCAAATACCAAATACTCCTTTGATATTGCATTCCTGGCACAAACCCTTCTTGTTCAGGAAGTAGTATTTTTTACATAGATTGCTGGATTCAGTATGATATTACTTTGTTACAGATTTTTTAAAAATCTGTGCTATGAGGGATATTGGTCTGTACTGTCCTTTCTTGTCATCCTTGTCTGGCTTTGGTACTAATGTAATGCTGACATCCTGAAATTAATTGGTAAATGTTCCCTGTTTCCTTAAGACTCTTTCTGGATTGCTATTATTTATTTGTATTAAGTATCTGATAGAATTAATCAGTGAAGCCATCTGGACCTGCACTTTTCTTCATGGGAATCTTTTAAGTAATGAAGTCAATTTCTTTAATAGATGTGAAGTTATTGAGGTAATAATTTTTTTCTTGAATTAGTTTTGATAATGTACATCTTTTAATGAATTTATCTAAGTTATATAGATTATTAAATGTATTGGCATACATTTGTTCATGATACTCTTTTATTATCCATAGTGATGTCATGAATTCCATGCTTGATATGGATAATTTGTGTCTTCTCTCTTTTTTTTAATCTGGGCAGTGCTAGAGACTTACCAGGTTTATTTTTTAGGCATTCTTTAGGATTAATAATATGTATCTTAACTACTTAGTATGCCTTCAAAATAATATGCCACTTTATATAGATTATAAGAACCTCTGTAGTTTTTAGTGTGATTTTTTTTTCAGTTTTTTAGCTTAAAATTTTTTTAGCCCTCAAGATATATGGCCGTATTTTACTTGTATTTCCTTCTACTTTTATAGTATTCCTTTTTAAGTGCAATTTGTAAAATGAGAACTTATGTGGGGTAGGTAATATGAAATAAGCATTTAAATAATTCTTTTCTCTAGTAGTTAATAGTATTCTAACATCCTGTATTGAGTGTTTTTGCTTTCCTCATAATAGCTTTCTCTACCATATTATTTTATAATGTCTAATTTTCTTGAAAAAAATTTTAGAGAATAACTATCTAGGAAATGAATGTAATAATTACAGAAGAGTTTTTGTGTGAATATTGTAAACTTTTCTAGGTTTTTTGCATTTATGACCCAGTTTATCGTGCATTTTTTATTTGTGTCTTAAAATCTGAATTTGTTGCCAGGCATGATGGTACACACCTATAATCCCAGCAATCTGGAGGCTGAGGCAGGAGAAACTGCCATGATTTTGAGGGCAGCCTGAACTACAAACTGAGACCCTGTCTCAAAAAGCCAAACAACTCTGAATTTGTCTTACAACATTTGGTTTATGTCCAACCAAATCACCCTTTATGTACAGCATCCTTTATGTTAGGGTATCACTAATCTCAACAAAATTTGAAGGAAAACTTGGATGAAGAAAGTATATGGAGGGAATATTCTTTGGCCCTAAGAATTTCCTAATTCTGCCACCTACCAACCATGTGGCCTAGAGCATGTGCTACAATCTCTAGGGACATCTGTCTTCACCTCTGTAGCCATCTCTTAGAGTTGTGAGAATTAAGTGGAATAGTGGGTGAGAAGCTTTTAGCACTTCATGTGGCATGAAGTATATACTATTATCTATGGGCTGCAGGTGTGTAGAGTATGTACTTTGCATGCACAAGGCTCTGGGTTCAATCCCCAACACCATAAAAAATTAGTATTTATATTTTTAAA